GTGCCTTTTCATCAAAAAATTGTAGAACAGAACTTTTTCAATATCGAAAATTTTCGTAATTTGAAGCAAAGATCGTAATTTTTCTTTTTGAATGCTTAAATATTCCAATATGCTACCAAGTAAACATGGAACAATTTCAAAATAATGCTTAATAGCAAAGTTGAAATTCGATCTTCAACTGGTAATATCTTCTAGAAATTTTCGAAAAAAAAATTTTCAATATTTTTCTCGTCCTCCCCAAGTGAGCCTCCATCACCCCTTAAAAGGAATGACGCCAATTTTGAATCACCCTGTATTTTCCTGAGTGAGAGGTTAATAATAATGTTTAAAAAATACTACCTCAGATTGCAGTGGCGCTCACTATTCACAGAGTAGCTTGGTATAATTGCCAGACAAACCAAGCGATTCCGCCCCAGAAACATAGGCAATCGCTTAAAATATTAAAAAAAACACATTGAAAAGAATCAAGTGAAACAATGCCGCAATTAAAGCTTTCAGGGCAGAATTCATGGTTGGAATTCGTAATTTGTTCAATGGAAATTGGTGATTTTTAATCGTTATGACTGGGTTGGGAGCTTGAATATGTTCTATGCACGTTTCCCTAGTTTGATAAACAATTGTCGTTTTGAAAAATCAAAAAATACAATTTAAAAAAATATATATCTATCTTGGAGTTGCCACTTTAAAGCCCTGTAACATGCTCCAACACAACACAAAACGTATTTTGCTTTTTAATAGTTTCCCAGTACATACTTTCTATTAAAGAAACTCAAAAAATCCCTTCCTACTGCGTAAAATGCAATATAAAGTTTCATGCCCACTCAGGATAATTAAAAGTTTACTGAAACATCTGACGACCACCGAAGGAAAATTCGATTTGACTAAAAACCGCAAAATAATGTTAGAGAGTTTCACAGACTTCACAGCCGATGTGAAGTTGAGGTTTAGATAAAAACATAAAATATTTTACAACCTTTTTAATTCTTGTAGATTCCATTATATCATAAATCCTTTCTCAAGTCCAATTTTCATGGGGCGCATAGTTTCAAATACCCGAATTCACTTCTTACTTGCAAATCCCACATGCTTTCTAATTAGCCAAACTAATATTGCCCTTAACCAATAAATCCGTTTTAATAAAGGTTCAATTAGGAAAACTTCTTGGCTGCTGTTTCAAGGCAGGTACCGGCAAAACTATTCGAATATTGGAGAATTTCTACTTGTGGCCCTTTGGGGCTAGCATGAGTTTATCATTTGCCGTTTTAACAGATTATCAATTGAAACCAATCTTACTCATATTAAATCACTCGGTTCTTGGTAATTTCTAAGTCTAACGTCTAGGCAACTTATTTTCGTATAAATAATAGAAAATATGCCTAAAAATAAGTGGCAGAACTACTAAATTTAACTAATTATTCATAAAAGCAAAGGAGTTGAAGCGGTTTAAAGGGCGGTTTGAGCCACTCTCCACTCTGCTTTCTGACTACGTTAAAGAATAAAATCCAGCAGCCATAAAACCATTAAAACCAGCAACTAAAGAGCGCCTTTAAGCAGCAAAACACAGGCTCTAAAGAAATATGATTGTTAACATGCAACTCTATGAATATTTAAGCTGAATGAATGTAATGAACGTGTCTTACTTAATGACGGTTCCACATTGTGAAATAAAAGCCATATTATGCAAACGAACATATCAATTATGTTTCAGGTATTTATGAACTGCACAGTTTCATAGTATGAACGCGATTTTCTTTATTATTTCGTTGCCAGTATGTGAAATTTTCAGTGTGAATGAATGAGAAACAGTAGTTTGATTGTTGAAACAGTGAAGATTTTGTGTTCTGTTCTGTAAACTGTTCCTAGGAGGTTTGCTCAAAATGGTGAAAAGTTTCATATTATACAAAGCGTTCAAAGTTGTGCATCACCACTATCGTATAGATTTAGTAAAAGGAAACAGCTGAAAGGTCTAACAGGCAGCAACAACAAGGGAAACCAGAAAAAGAGACAACAAGAATGTCATGAAGCAACCAACAGACAATGAGGCTAAATAGGAGGACGTCAAGAGATGATCAGGAACTATTTTGCGACAAACCAAGTTCAAAAAGCAAGCAAAATAACACTTAAATATTTATCTAAAAGTTGCAAAGCAAAAAATTGAATGATATATAAATACTGCTCAAGACAAGGCAGGACGTAAAAACACTTAACAAAATTTGTGAAAAGAAAATAAACACTATCGAATGAGTAAAATCAGCAATAATCAATAAATACTAGAAATAGACCATCAAAAGAAGCCAGAGGTTTGAAGGCTAGTAACTTAAACTTCTGTTTGTTTCAAAAGTTGGTGAAATATGTTTTAAACGCAAGAAATTGTGGATACCAATTTTGCAAAAAACTCTTCCGAAAAAATAGCTACAATCAAAAATGATTATAAATTGCAATATATAAGAAAAACTTTTCACACTGCCAATTGCCACTAAAAATTTTCAAAAATATAATGATAACGTAACGAACATTGTGGGCTAATTCCAGCGAAGTATCATAAGTAGATGCAGCTTGAATTACTTGTTTTTAAATGTTCTGTCGCTTCAACACCATGAATGAAAAGCTTCAAAAGAAGACTGTTGATTTGGCTTTTGTGATTAGAAAACCGCGTAAGGTGCAAATGATGAGCCATTTTAATAATTCCTTTCCGAGAAATTTCAGCTGTTATATGTATTTTTCAACAGGACAAAAGTAAAAACGCTTAACATTTTATCATTGGCCAGGTCTAAAGGTTGGACCATTTTTATGCGAAAAATTCTAATCAGAATAATTCACTTTCCGAGAAATTTTTGGCTGAAATATGTACTTTTCGAGCATTGGTGGCGAATGAAATGTGGGTGTCCCAATGTGACCAATTCGAGCTGAAGATAACACTGGCTTCCAGTGGGGGACAACGTTATAAAATCGTGGCGGGTGGCGCGCCACGATATTCACTTTGCGTTCCGTAAAGGGTGCTGTTCAATTCAGAGTGTTGTGCGTCCAAAGACTCTGGAAACAAACTTTCCAGTCGCGTATTGTTGAGGGCCGCAGCCAAATCTCTTCGTTTGCCACTACGCTCTGCGACACGTTTTGCCACTGGAGCGCTCCGCAAGTTGCTGATTTCAGGTATAATCAACCTTACTTCAATCAACTACTTAAAAAATCATCAGGTGCGTTCACTTTTTCTCTGTCCTGACTTAATGTCCAATATATATTGTATATCAAAATCGTCAATTCAACAAGTTGACCAACTGATATAAAAGGTTAAAAATTAAGCATATTCGGTCAATCTTCACCATTTGATTTTCTCAAAAAAAACCAGCGTCTTTCAGACCATTAATTACTCCCATTAACATTCCTTATAACTTTTTCTTCAATTCAAACGTTTTAATGCGAAAAGTAGCACCGTTTCGTCGAGAAACTTTACTCGAGAAGATCGAAAGTTTTTTTATAAATGGAATTAATTATCACTCGATGTTCAAGTTTTAAATACTTTTGGGGGAAATTACGGCTCGTTTCGATACCTTTGGCGCCTCATTAGTATCTTTTAGCTCAGTTATGTTCAAATATATTTAAACTTCTTTGGCCGGGTGCTTTTCATATTATAAAGCTTCAAGTTAGGCCTTTTCGAATGTAAATTCCGTGCTCGTCCTTTATCCGTCCGATTTGTCACATTTTCGGCGATTAATAAATGGGAAATTAAAACTTTAATAAAAATTATATTAAGTTGATAGAGATGAGTGTCTAATAGAGAAAATAGTCAGAATTAGCTAAATATTTTTAACCGATTCGACCATTTAAATTCGATTTAAATGCGAACATTGCGTCTGATTTGCATTAAAATATTGTGATATCTAAAGCAAAGCACCTGGCGTCTTGCATGCTCTTGCAATTGAAACAGGAGTATCGGCTTTATATGTAAATGGATTCTGCGTTTGATCAAGTTGTTTGTAAAAAATATATAGGCTGTGCTTAAAACTTTCAAACTCCCAAATATCCTCTTACCAACAAAATGCTTAATTAGTAATCTTCAGCAATTTATAAAAATCGTCTCAGATAATATTTGCAAGATTATCTTGAAAATCGTAACTACGAAATTGCATGCAAAAGCATTTAAAAGCCTCTTGTATGCAAATTCTAACAATCTAACCGAAACTGCTGCATCTCCTAATAGAAGTACTCATAAAACTGCATATTTTTCACTTGAAATATTAGAGCATGTTTCGAAGTGAACTTTTAAAAGTTTATTTTCAAAATTCTCTAGCGACTAAGTAAAGATGTTTAGGAAACAGCTTGCATTTCAAAGGTGGGAATTCGCTTTATAACTGAACTTGGTTACCGTTTTCTTTAGTGATCAATAAATCTATAGTGTTGCAAATCGCCTTTCAGTGTATTTAGGCGAGTCAGTCGATGGTAAAATAAGCGCACCTAAATCGAGTGACAAAATTTAACCTCTAGATAAAATCGGTACAGAAATATAAGCTAGTAATTATTATTAATAAAACAATGAATAATAGAAAATAAAATTTAGCCCATGTTTACAAGCAAATATAAAACACTACATCAATTAAGTTTGTGAGCTATGAATTTGTATATTTTTCTGCACGATATACGATCATGAACAATTAAAACTTACAAACCCCAGAACTTAAACGGCATTACCACCTGAAACAAAAAAAACAATTAATTATTATAAAAACCTAAATAATGCATTAACTAAATGCTAAGATATTTCCATAAACATTTATGCAATAAGGTTTACTTTTGAAACAAAATTTTTAAAAGCAGCACTTTTTTGAAACAGTTTTAAAAGTGGTAGATTGGATATCATTAAGGCAACAGACGGGGAGTGTTCACGATTTTTTGTCCTTAAGCCTGTCAAATCAGCTTGAAACATAAGTAATTCCAAAAATAACAAATACAAAGTCTGTCCCTACATGGAGCCCAATTATGGCAGAACTTTTCGTGCAAACGAATCCAAAATTTACGTTAAACATAAAGTGAAACTTATCGGCTGCTGAAATCTGTATTCCGATATCTGCAGGAGCTGATAGTACCAGAAAAAGTGTTCAACTTAATTGGGAGGAAACGAAAAATTTGCTAATGGTGAAGATGAATCTCATTCAATTTAGCGCAATTAGTATGCACGGCTGTATTAGAAAGATAAAACATATTATAATATTGGAGGCAGGAGAAATGAAAAGTAATTTTAGAGTTTTCGGATGATTTTGAGAAGCAATCAGATCGAACGAGCTTATGAGAGACAATCCAATTTCAAATAATACACATGATCCAAACGTTCGATGTAACCTGCATCGGGAATGCCGCCGAGATTTGGTTTATGGAAAGTCATTTATGTGTAAATGACGTTCCAAATGCGAAAATGCTGTGTCTTGGAATCGGAACAAAACACAAAATTGCCCGAAAATAAAACATTAAACAATAACGAAGCGAACTAGAAATTTAAACCATATCTGAATCTATGCGTTATACACACATCCATTACAAACATTAATTGAAAATTCCAATTTGCAAGGAGTCGAACAACGTTAAATACTCTTTGTAACAAAAGAGTTGGTTTTACCTTAAAATATATCCAGCAATACCTATTTGTTTATTTAAACCGATCAATATTTGCACTAGAACTTTTACAATTTACTCAATAATCAAGTTATGCATATTTAAAGAGAAGAATCGATGACTCTGACGTGTGTTAATGCAGATTTTATTATTGTTTTAGATTCCTGCGGTTTGCGAGTGAACTTTACAAAAATATTTATTTTTGTAAAAATTATTATCTTTTTCACTTTCCCCAATTGCCACAATCATCAATTTTTGCCTAGCTGTTCGGACCATTTTCCACAGCTTCGACAGTCCGTTATTTCATTTCCAAGCGTAGCCATTGTGCAATGACTCATTTCATTTACCTGGTTATTTTTTCCTTTCAAAAAAACCACCTCGAGTAAAGAAAAAGCAATTAATCAATGTCTGTCCACTTTCAATTGAACGTCTTTTTGAGGTCTTGTTTTGCAATTAACTGCACACGTACTGGATTTGGTGCACTTGTTGAGTTACATTCGGTGAACTGATTTTAATCATGTCATTTTGGGTTTTCTAGGTGTTAAATTGTCGAAAAAATAATGATAAAAAACCTTTCAACTTCCCTAAGTCCCAATCAGCCCTTTGAATTAATAATAAGTGTGACATTAAGTTACGAAAACTTGACATCACTCTAGAGGAATTCCACAGAAGCAGTAAAATCGAAGCGTTAGCATGCACTTGACTACTCATTAAATATCAACAGCTAAACTGCATTAAATTCCAATTTCAGAGCTTACCAAAATCATTCCCGTTCAACAGCTCGTTGAAACATATATTTCGAGCTTTCTGCTCTATAATAATATTTTCAAAAATCGAGTTAGGATTGAAATAGATAGTAAGAAAGGAGATTATTAAAAGTATATATTTCGGCCGAAATAATTCCGGTCACCATTTCAGTTTTTCCTTCGACGTGTGTTTAAGACAAGAATACTAAAATAGCTGTGACATGGATAAGAATTATCCAACTAACAAAAATTATTTAGATATCACCGAACTGAAATTCTGCTATGAGGGTCTTCAATCATAATAATAAACAATTTTGATATATTTTCCTGACTGCGTGTAATTGTTATTATATTCTTATCTTTCTTGGGTCTCAGGCAAAGTCAAAGTGTGAAGTAAAAACTTTTAATATCGATTATTTCATTACGTTTCGGCGAGACAACAGCGCCATCATCAGATTTAAAATTTACACAAACTACAAACACCAATTCACAATTAAAACATGTTGTACAAAAACTATAATTTATGAAACGTTAAAACATTCATCAGTTCTTGAGGGAAATCCTTCCTTTTGGGAGAGCAAAACATGTATGTAGATCAGATACCGACAACCTTAGCAACATTTACGAAACCCTCATCCCACCCTCATAATGTGCATTAACACAACATATACACTAAATGTTACATAATTTGGATTTTGACAACGCAGATATATTAGGTAAGGAAACAAATTATCAATAAAAAAAGAAATAAACATACAAATAAAAAAATATACAAAAGCAGTAAATTTCAGATCAGATACCAACAACCTTAGCAACATTTACCAAACCCTAATAAAGCCATAAGTATAGAACACCCAGTACACTAGTGAAAAATTAAAACTATTTCCGCTAATCTCTATACATGCATACCATTCTCGCAAATGTAGAAAATAATTCAGACAAATTTAACGTTTCAAGAAGGCAAAGACCTAAAAGCACTGATGAATGTTTTAACGCTTTATAAGTTATAGTTTTTGTACAACACGTTTTAATTATGAACTGGTGTTTGTAGTTGTTTAAATTTTAAATCTGATGATGGCGCTGTTGTCTCGCCAAAACGTAATGAATTAAACGATATTCAAAAAATGTTTACTTCACACTTTGACTGAGACCCAGGAAAGATAAGAATATAATAATAATAAACAATTAAGGCCTATTAAGGATTAGTTAATTTAAATCCCTCCCACAGACACAAACTAAAGAAGCTTAATAACATACTTTTCATGTAAAATAGAAATTATTGTGAGTGTTATAAGGAAAGCTAAATATTTTTTACAATACAAATTTTTTATTCAACTTTGCAAAATTTGCTCAACATTTTTCTCAAAGTTTATCATGCGTCGAAAAAAATACTCTCTTGCAAAACTGTGTCCCAGATCATTTGCCTCAATAAAAATTCTTACTACCTAACAGTTATTATGTAATTTTTATATATTTTTGAACAGTTTGACATACACATACATTTAACATAGTTCTACAACTTAAAGATTTTGGGATAAAAGTTACTAGAATGACAAAGTCAATTTTTTAAAATAATTTTGCAAATATCGCCTCCAAAATTTACAAATCGTTTTCAATGTTTTCGACTGGTTTTCACTATCCTTTTGTGACTTAAAAAGTTTTTTACAAATGAGGCCATGAGTAAATATTAGTGCCGACAAAAAATAAATTGAAAAATATTTTAAATAACGCAGATATATAAGATTTGAAAGCTTTCGGAATCAACACTTTTTACACTAAAACTGTAATTCGTATAACAAAAATAAAACATACATTATTTTAAGTTCCATTTGTCTTCATAACTT